CAGATCCCTACACTTGGATCACTCCAATCTGGTGAAGCTTCAAAGTGCAGGGGAGAGGAGGTGGTTACAGTTTGAACACCTGTACTGCCCCGTCCCAGAAACACTTCTTGCACTTTTTTAGAAATTCACATAGCCACAAATAAACCCCAGTCTGTGATCAATGGTACCATTTATCACTTTCTCCAAAGAGAAACGTAAGTGTTTTACTAGTCTGTCTAGCATAACAGCAGCCGATTTGTTTTTCAGTAAAAAATCCCTGACAGTTACAGTTAAGAAATTACTACTTATTAATGGTAACTTCTTACTCAAGAAAACAGTTTACTGTGCATTTCAAATCCTCATATACTGATTTTGGTGTCCAATGTAAGTTACAACTATTTCACTTGAAAATGTCCATCTGAATTTGCACTGCATTGCCAATATAGCTAAAGGAAAAAGGGATGGTTTCTCCTCTGCCCTGGACCAAGTTCTGATTACAGAATCTGATTTTTCTGGTGGCAAATGTTAAAATCAGACATCAGAATTAGTGAGGGTTTGAAATTCTAGGCTGAGTGTGCAGGATGCACACAATAAGCAAAATGTACTGGTAGTGAGATCTGAACATCGAATAGACTAGTGCCATTTTACAGAATTCTTTTTCAGTAGATAAACACAGTTTAAAATTTTCTACCCAGCCCCATCTGATATAACATTACTGCTTAAAAATATTACTGTGTATAAAACTCTCAAGATATCATTCAAGAGTTCTACAGAACAGAAATATAATCATGCCAAAATGGCAATGGAAAGCCACATATAAAAGAAATGTTCTTTAAAAAGCTCATTATTTTTTTAGAATGTCCTCTGCAACTATTTTTGGTCACCATGCATGGGAGTAAGAAAACTTTTTGATGCCCTATGCTAGTGGTGGGCAATTATTTAGGTCGGAGGGCCCCGTAATGAGTTTTGGTGAGCTGTTGAGAACCACAAGAGTAGCCCTGCCTCTTGATAAGGGTCCCACCCCGTGGTCTCCTAGGCCAAGCAGATAAAAAAGTTTCCATGGATTTGGTGCTGGGGAGACTCCAGCTGGAGCAGAGCTGAGCTGCACCTGACAGTAAGGGGAAGGGAAGGAATTGGGTGGAGGGACAGAAGCTGCAGAGGGGAAACAGAGAGGGGACAGGAGGCTGCTGTGGGTCTGACACTGGACCTGACCTCGGTCCAGGGCCAGAGTCACAGCTCCAGCAGCTGCCTGTTCCCTGCTCCACTTCGTATGCGAATATAAAATGAGGAACTTTTTTCCCCCATGACGATTGAGGGAATAAAACCTTTTGCCTATATTCATGTAAATATTGGTATATACATTTCTTCAGATACATGGGGGTAAACAGTTTTGTATGTCAGTAAAACACTTTAGGGAAGTCATGCAATTTGCCTTAATTTAATTCTTTTGGGATTTTGTGAAAACCAGGGAGTAAGATCCTCTCTGGTCCTTTACACCAGGCCAAAAGGACGCCTCCAAACTTGGCAAGGAAAGGTTACCCCATAACAGAAATGTGAATGACCATTAATGTCCGTGGGCAACTGCAAACCAAAGGTCCCCAAAGACTGCTCCATGTTAGTTCTTGGGACTGAAATGAGAGTGCAAGGACCAAAAAAAATTGGAGGCGTCTTCTGCTATAGTCAACACTGGTGTGGCTTCATTTGTAATACTGTGTCTAGCTTTTGCTACCCAGCCAAGTAGCAAGAAGGATGTGGACAATTTGGAAAATGTCTGGAGAAAACCCCAAAAAATTATTAGTAAGGCTGGGAGGCAAGACTTATGAGCAGGGATCGGGGTTTTCCGTTTCCCATGGAAAAACGGAGAAAAAAAAACAGATCCCCTATTTTTCTGAGAAAATGAGGATTTCCCTTTTTAGCAGAGAAATCCACGGATTCTCTGCTTCTGCAAAGAGCTCTTGCAGGCTGGCACAGCTCCAGCCTGCAAAAGAAGATTGCAGAAAGGGCAGGAAACCCCCAGCCCTGCCCGGAGGGGGAGGGAGAGGGGGGAGGGCGGGGCCTGAGCCTCTGAGGCAGCCAAGGCCGGGCTCAGGCTCAGACTTGCCCTTTGACCCTGGAACATGGAGGTAAGTGGGGCTGTGGGGCAAGGCTGGGGAAGATGGTTGGGGATTGAGGGAGTGGGGGGTGCTGCCGGCTCTGGGTGGCACATCGCAGCTGGGAGCAGGGCCAGGGGGTGAGG